ATAAGAGAAGGCTTCCAAATTAAAAATCACATACACACACAAGACCGATGTGAAATTTCATGCTATCTAAACTGTGACAGGGTCGGGCCAGATGGCTACCGGAGAGTAATAGAAGGCAGATATATTAGCCTCAGGTTAAGTAGGTCCCTTTTCCCTGGGTAAGGTAACATGGAAGGTTCCAGAACAATCAGGAACCTTCTGGAGACAATTAAGACAAACAGGCTGATTAGAACACCTGTAGCCAATCAAGAAGCTGCTAGAATCAATTAAGGCAGGCTAATCAGGGTACCTGGGTTTAAAAAGGAGCTCACTTCAGTTTGTGGTGTGCGTGTGAGGAGCTGGGAGCAAGAGGCACTAGGAGCTGAGAGTGAGAACGCGGACTGTTGGAGGACTGAGGAGTACAAGCATTATCAGACACCAGGAGGAAGGTCCTATGGTGAGAATAAAGAAGGGGTTGAGAGGAGGCCATGGGGAAGTAGCCCAGGAAGTTGTAGCTGTCGCACAGCTGTTCCAGGAGGCACTCTAGACAGCTGCATTCCACAGGGCCCTGGGCTGGAACCCAGAGTAGAGGGCTGGCCCGAGTTCCCCCCAAACCTCCCAACTCCAGGTCAGACACAGGAGGAGATGACTTGGACTGTGAGTTCACAAAAACAGCCAAACTGCGGGCTGCCGTGAAGCTCCAAGGCGAGCAAATCCACCAATAAGCGCAAGACCCACCAAGGTAGAGGAGGAACTTTGTCACAAAACATTCATGAATATTTCAGCTTTCACGAAGCCAAATTCCCAGAATGAAAAAAGGCAGTATTGCCCAACTCTTATTTTAGATTTAAATTAATTTTGTAACCTAGACCCTGCACCATTACTTCAGTGGAGCTCTGTCAGTGCATGGGTCTTCCTGGATGAATCATATTTCAGGATCAGGACTCTAGACCGTATATTTCCATATACACATGGATTTCTGTGCAGTACCGTAATATGGCTGTACAGTGGCAGCCTCACACTTCAGGACAAAGGTTTGTTTCTTAGGAAGGATGGCCGCATGGTTATGGTGTTAGCCCAAGACTCAAGAGCTAGCAGTTCAATTCCTTATTATGCTACAGACTTCCCATATGAGGTTGGGCAAGTCATGTCATCTTTCTGCTGTGCCATCTGTACCTCACAGCACTGTTGTGAGGAGAAATGTATATGACTGGGAGGTGCTCAGATACTACAGTCATGGAGGCTGTTTATTAATGTCTCAAATACCCAAATCTGCTGGGACTCCATATGAGCTCATTTTGAAGAAGTGGCTTGCTTTTCATTTGTTGCGTTGTGCAAAAATCAGTTGTATATTTTGCCCTGGGAAATGGGATCAATTTGTATTTACTTAGCCCTAAGACTCTTACACAGAAAGCATGTTTTTCAGATATCTGTCATGCCATTATCTAGATAATTCCTTTTGATAAGTAGTAACATTTTTCTGAAGCAGTGCTAAAGAGGACTTTGCCCTGGAGTGAACGAAGAGCAGCTGATATGGTTGGAAAAACTCTTTACTTTCTGCTGATATCAGGTACCTGCACTGTGTATGAGAAAGGAGCCATTTTCACATGGGTGAAAATGTCGAAATTACCTAACAAATGATTCTCCAGGTTTGCTGTTTCAAACACCATCTTTTTCTAAGTCTGTCCACTAAAAAGTGCAGGGGAAAAAAGGTGTTCCCGTTAACGCACACCTCTGTGCCCAGGGAACACCGAAGCATCCTCCTTTTTCAAAATAAAACTATGCAGACTACTAGTCTCTAAAACGGTGAGCTAGACCAGGGGTTCTCACAAGCAATGACTTTGGTGGCCTTAGAGTGCGGCCACCAACTCTTGCTCGTGGCCACTCTGACAATTTTTCCTCAAATACTTAATTACCTTTAGGAAAAATAAATAAATATGCACATACACACGTCTAAATCCTTGTAATTTATTTATGCCGGGTTTTTGCAGCCTCAATAATAAAAATAATGTACAGTGGTCTTTATTCTTTACTGAATAGAAACAAAATAAGGTACTTTGCACATTCTTGTCTTTTTTTGTTATTGTTTCTCTTGCTTTTTGGCTGCCCTTTTTTTTTTTCGACTTGCTGGCTAGTAAGGCTGCTGCTGTGAAAACTGATATTTGTATATTTGTATATATCACTTTTCATAGCAGACTTACTAGCTAGCTTGGAGGCAGTGAAAAGTGATATTAACAAACATACAAATATCGCTTTTCACAGCAGACTTACACAGTCCCGGCAGGCCAGGGGACAAATTAAGCCATGGATGGAGAGGTGGATAGAGAGGCTGTGGATCAGGGGTGATAGAGAGGGTGAGTCCGGGGCTAGAGCCCGAAGCACCCCAGCCAGGGAGGGAGACTGAATCCCTGTGGCCAGACCCTGGCACCTGCTACCCCACGGCTAAAGCTGGAAGCCCAAGCCCCACCACCCCTGGGGAGGTGGGGAACTCACACCAGCTGCCTGTTCCTCTGGCATTTGTGGATGCAAAGGAGGGCAAGGCCCAGCCCCTGCTGGCAGCCCCAGGGGAGGAGCCACTGCTCTCCTCTCCTCCCCCCATCACTGCCCAGTAGGCTGTGGCCACAAGAAAAGCCTCTGGGCCATGGTGGCTGCATTTTAGAAACACCAGGCTAGACATTCGGACCTTGATCCTACAATTGATAGCACATGGACAGATTGCTATGCCCATGCAGAGCCCCAGTGACTTCAGCAAAGAGCACAGTAACTGCAGGACTGGGACCATAAGTTTTTTTTCTCAAAAAAGTTACAACAGCAAAATGATAAATATTACAAAACTAATCAACTCCTGCATGTTAACACTTATGTCGTGTGCTGAAACATTTTCCTGAATGATTCTTAATTATTTGCTTATTTGTATTGTAGTAGTGCCCAGAGGCAAAGAGTAGATCTAGATTACACAGTGCCTAGGCCTTATTCCCATCCATACTAGCCCTCCCGGTATGGTGTCCACCAGTGGAAATGTAACCATACTAGTGCAATGGTGGGGGGGTTTCTCCTAAAAAGCTCAGAGATGAGTTGGAGAAGATGGGTACCAATGGAATTAAACTGATGCAGAGAGGGGATTTTATTGTTTACTCCTGACTTATTTCCTTTCCTACCAGTAACTTTGAGGACTTCTGACATTACAAACCTTCCTTTTAACTTCTTCGCTGTTGGACTTAGGTTCCCATGGACTTTGCTGTTTCTTTAAATGAATTTTTCAGCTGAAATCAGAGTAATGACGGCTATTGAATGAAGGTTGCCATCTCTTGGGGTTTTATTATGAGTCTCAAGGCATTTTGAATGGCCCAGGTCATGGAGTCAAATGAATACATGAGAATCTTAGCTTTCAGGTGTTTAAATGTATACACTTCTAGGCCTCACAGTTGCAGAGGAAAGCTTGAAATTGTGGCCTGACTGTACTCAAGAGTCTCAAAAAACAGAATGCAAAGAAAAAGAACCAAATATTTCCTATTATTTAAAAAAATCTTTTCAGCAAGACTCATTATTTTTGAACATTTGGGGTTAGCAATAACCCATATTCAGCAGCACTGGGGGATGTGGGCGTGAGTCATTTGCTCAACGTACTTAATGTGGCATATTTTATGGTTACAAGGCTGTCAGCTGATTCACCCTTTTATTCCTGCTCCCATTTCCCTTCAAAAGCTTAGATTTTTTTTTCTTCCGTGTATGCTTCTCCCCCAACACTCACTTCAACTCCACGAAGAAAACAGATCCTTGGGTAGCTAATGTGCAGTACATGGGGGTAGAAGGCAGGCAAACTCTGAGAGGAACTGACAGGCCCGTTTTCATCTTTTTCAAACATCACCTTTTTTTTTCTCCCTGTGCCCATCCTCTCTGTGGTGACACTGACCTTTGGCAATCACATGAGTAACACTCACATTGAAGTGTGCTAGCAAGCTGCATTTCTGGATCAGCCTCTTTTGCTTTGCTTCATTGGGTGACAGACATTTCAGTTTTGCTGGAAAAGCTATTTCCCATAATGAAAAATACATTTTGCAATCCATTTTTGCAGTAGTTGCAAAACACATGTGCATTTCCCTAAGCTTGCTGTAGGTGTGGTTTTGTGTGTTATTCATTGTCCTTCTGTTGGTCTAATAAGTATGATGGGAAAATGCCTCAAAAATATATTTTTTACACAATACATGTGATGTCCTTATTTGAAAGATTTCTCATGTGCTATGCTTATCAAAACAGGTACATGGGAAATTAAGTAATTAAAAACTGAGACAAGGTGGGTGAAGTAATATCTTTTATTGGACCAACTTCTGCTGGAAGAGGAGACAACCTTTGGAGCACTTCTTCAGGTCTGGGCTGATGGAACTCAAAATCTTGTCTCTTTCACAAACAGAATTTGGTCCAATAAAAAATATTACCTCACCTTGTCTCTCTCCTATCCTGGGATCAACATAGGTAAAACAACCCTGCAAACACAAAATTAAAAACTAATCCAGAATAAAATTATGGCCATTCAGTACGCTACTACTGATCTTCACAGACCTCCCATGACCATCCTTGGGATTTCCGTATGCAGATCCTAAATAGCATGTGGATCTTTGGTGTAACTCCACTGAAGTAAATGGCAACTGGATTTATCCCCAGGATGAATTTGGTCAGAAATTTAAAGTAAGACCAGAAAAGCAAATAAATTAAGAAGTAAGGCTGCAACTCTAGCTTGCTTGTTTCATATTTGTCCTGTTATCAAATCAGAGGGACCTCAGTACACTGATGTTACAGTATGAAATATGTGCTACGGTATTTGGTGTAAGTGTGTAGTGCTTTAAAGAAAGGTGTTTCAGCTTGAAATGGCTCTGTGTTTTGTCATTTTAATTCTGCTTTGATTTATTCTTTGGACATTTTAGAGCTAGATCCCATGCAGATGGAGTGAAAGAAAATGTTGTGGTGTTTATTAATCATTAGTGAATCTCTGAGATTCAGTGATGGGGTAACGACACAAGGTATTTGAGTACACACTTTGAATGAACTTTAATTAAAAAATATAAGGGACTGATGGTACCCTCATTATACAAGCATTGCTTTTTGAACATCATCCTGAACTGCTAATGTTGCGGTAGCTCAGTAGGTAGGAACAGTCCTTGATCTCCTTAGGAAAGCTTAAAATGCAAGGAAAAGAGAGAAGGATTAATTAAGAGAAGGCTGTTTAAGTAAGTAAAAATTGTTTCCCACAAAAAAGACATAGCAAGGTGTCAGGTTAGATGAAACATACAGACAGCTAGATAATAATCCCCTTGACTGTGTGTTTAACTTTTCTCTCATTGATAGGTTTGCCCTAGTAGTATTAAAACATTTCATTAATCTGTTTAAAACACTGCCTTTCTGTGGCAAAAGAAAATGAATGCATAATGGTGTGCTACATGCTTTAACAAAACACATTTCATTCACTCAAGGGTCTCTGATCATTTGCCCAAAATTAAAGATCAGTTATTGAATAATTGACATCTCATTTATAAACAAATCAATAGACCCACTTAAGTGTTTGTGTAATGATAGTAATATAACCTTTCCTCGTCTGAACAGCAAATGAACAGACCAAACAGTAAAGGCATATTCTCCACCTGAAATAATTAGGAAAGCTACTTAAAAATCATTTGCCTCAGCAGAAATATAAAGTATTTTTTGTGCAGTACTTACCTCCAAAATGTGTGTGTTTGGTTTCCACTTTACAAAATGAAACCTGTGTCAGTGGATTTATTTCTCTAATATCCTTCAAATGAGAGAGTAGGGGTAGAGGTTGTGTTTATAAAAGCACTGCAAGGCACCCACAATCACAACGTCCAATAGCATACGACGTGTGGAGGAGGATATTAATCATCCCTTATGCAGTGCACTGTACGAGGGGGATCACACAACTCAAACTGATGGGATTGCACAAGATGGTGCTAAGTGGAAAATGTAAAACCCAGCTTGCTGTTGCTTTTTAATCTCTTTCTTTCCATTATGCACTGCTTTCTCTCCCACCACCCCCATATCTCCCCAAGACCGTCAAACGTGGTCCAATAATTTGGGCTCTAAATCCAGAGGAAGAATTTTTAATATCATCATAATTTGTTGTCAGTGTGTGTTAGTGTGTGAACAAAACTGTTGCAAAACGCTGTGTGTGTGTATATATGAACCCATCATTGCATCCTAGAAAATACCCTGGAGTGCCAAATACAGCACTTGTGTCAATTAACTCTTTAAGGCAAATTTAAATGTAGACAAAATACATACAGTACGTGAGCTGATTGGTGAGTTAGACCAACGTACTAGTATAGTAACATAACTATTTGCACCATGAATTAATTTTTAAAATGTAATAGAATTCAATCAGAGCTCACTAGATATATAACCATTACTAATCCTTCAGCTGATAAGACGATCAATGCTTGAAGCAGAATTAAATATCAATGGTAGAAAAAGATTATACCTATATATATATTGAGTTTTTAGAAGGAGCTTTGTGAATTTAATAAATTCCACAATCAGAAATGTTTTGCACTAGTATTTTAATTAATATTATATTATTTATTTTAAAACTTTTTTTTTACAACAGTGAGGGAAAACAACTTGGTATGCTGCTTTATTTTAAAAAGCAATAGTTATATTAATAAATTAATCCCAACATCTACTCATTTTTGCTGGCAACAAATGTATCAGCTTTTCCTTCATGTTCCTATAAACTCGTGCTTAAACAGTTCTATTCTCGAACAGCACTCTGAATATTTCCCAAGAATACTGAGATATTCTCTGATTTATCTAGCCAGTTTTACTAAGCTAAATTACTTCTTTATAGTGTATTTGGTGGTTTTTAAGGGGGCGTAAGGAGGACTATAGGATTAAAGGCACATAGTTTCTTCCTATTCTAGTACAGTTTATATGCTCTGTGTCCTTTTCACCTCTCTCCCTTGTTTGCTCCACTGGAGTAAGTGTTTCCTTATATTCTCCTTCTGGTTTAGATCAGCCAACATGTAAAAATAGTTTATTTTAAAATATTTGCAAAACATTTATTTTATGTAATTTAAAAAAAGTCAATTTTAATAGGTCTTCACAAATCTTCCAACAACATGAATGTATCGCAGCCCTATGCCAGCATATTTGGAAACAACATATGAGGAAATGAGACCAATAGCAATATTCACTGATAGCTGATAACATTTATAGCTATGGGGTAAGCTTTGGGGGTTTGCTTGTTACAAGGACTTGTTTTTCCTAGGGTGACCTGCTGTTGTAGAGCTGATCTTTTCAATCAGTGACTACACATGATTCCTTTTTGTGCTGATTCCATGTGAGGAAAGTTCAGGCTCAAGAGAGCTGATATTTCAGTCATATGTTAATTGTGAAATACTAGCACTTAATAATGTGCACTTTTGCTTTGCATTATCTCTCTGTGTATGAAACGTTGTTAGCTCTGTGTGTGTGTGAAAGAGTTTACATTAAAAACACATAATCACAGAGAGAAGGAGAATGCATAATAGCTTAGTGTTAGCTATGGCATTTACTGTATGTTCACAAACATCCTAGCACATAAACCATCCCCTCACCAAATAAAGACCACTGCTCTCAAAAACTAAACCATTATATGTGCACCTTTCAGACCTGTTACATTAGAAATTGAGAAAAGGAGGGCTGTCAGTCAACATGCTGATGATGTACAGCCTAGAAACAAATGGGGGATGCATCATCTGTTGAAACAAACCCATTTTTTCAGCATTTTGTGAACACAGCTACTTATGTCTGTATCTTATAGCTATGTTGGGAAAGTAAGAGCTTTTATTAGGGACAAATGATGAATTACTCTGGTTGAAAATATTTATAAAATGTATACTTATTTTAAAGTGGTAATGATGAAAGCAGTTAAGGCAATTTCTGTTTGTGAGTATACTCTGCCTCCATTTTTTAAACTCCGTTGCATTTGAATTAAAGGAATTACCATTTTTATTATGTGTACATTAAACATTTCATAGCTGTCAATAAGAAGTGATCTAATAACCACCAACTTTTACTCAGAACTACAATATTCAATATTTTCAATAAATAAATACGGCCACAGGAAATTTTGCTCGTTAGCAGGTTTAAAGTAACTGAACCATTATATGAAAATGTCCTTTTGCAGCCATATGTCTGGATCAGTTGGTAATTGTATTTCTTGTTCAGTCTGTAATAATAAATAAATAAAGGTTGGATTCCTCTTATTTCACTTTAATAGATGGTATGTTCTACAGTCTGTCTAATGACTACCAATGTAACAAAAGCATATGAAGCATACTCTTTCAAAACCCATTGTCTAGTTTTCTAATTTGAATATATACAAGTTACCTTTAGAGTTAAAGGGACATTATCCATTCTAATTTGACTCTCAATTTTTTAAAAGCTTTTTGTAATATCGAAGGCCAATATAAATGTTTCCATATTGTTGGATTTTTTTTAAAATCCAATTGAAACAGTTATTTTTAAGAAATTCCCTTTTAATGTTGGCAATTCAAATGCAGCAGCACTGAGAACCCCAAACTGAAACTAATTACAAACAAAAGTAAAATGTACATCATTGTCCAAGCTGAGAGAAATGGGAAAGTAAACAAACACTAAGGCTTTTGAAAAATAAATTGGACTTACTTTAGTTCTAATTCCATAAGGTATTATTAGTAACATAGGTAAAAGGCATGTGATGGTTTACAATATCAGATTTTTAAGTTGACAGTGTTCCTTTAAATTTTCAAGTTTCAGATGTTGTTTTATTGCTTCCTCTTGACACTCCGAATTTTCTTTAGCAAGCCTGAAATGGATATGTTGCAATCTGACTGAGTTCTGGCTTTGAAACGTAACCTGTTTTTGATTGTCATCTGATACTGTACATTTTTGATGGGGTGGGGAAAAAAGAAACGGAATTAAAAGAAATTGGTTCCAGCATTTGTTGAATTTATATTCAGAACATACGCTTACCTGATATGAAGATTTTGAAACTTTTAAGGAACACACAACTATTTCCTATCAAATTTAATAATAAATTGTAGTCACACCCACATGACAAAGTTAACAACCAGTTTCAAGTTTAACTAGTAGAGGAAACTGGTAAGGCAATTTTTTTCAGGCTATTGTTACCAGTGCAGTATATTTATAGGAAACGCAACAAAGAATTAAATCAAAAGACTGATTAAAAATGCATAACATTAATGTCACAACAGTGTTTTTGTCATCTAATGATAACCTCAAAACACCTCTCTTAGTTTACAAGGATGACTGCAGCTAAAGGCAGTGCTAGACTTTTGTACATTTAAGAAACATTTTATCATAGCTTGGAAAATCATTATTTTTTGAAAGCAAAATTTATTTTGTTTACTCAAATCAGATAAATGTTACTGGTATTTTATTCATCATTTTTCTATTTATGTATATTGACATTTTTCACCAGATTCTTCCAGCGCTCCAAGTTGGGATGTCAAAAACTGTGCTTGCAGAAATGAAAGTATCCTCATTATGCAAATTTAGGTTCCACTGATAGGCATGTTCTGTTTTATAAATTACATCCTCTTGTCAGAAGTCAAATTGTATTTGAATAACTTCACGGAAATTGTCACCAAGATTTTAAATTGTGTGCCTTGTATGCCATTGTTGATTTAGTCAGTGAGTAAAAAACGGACATATGTTGATTTTTAAATGTGTGCATGATTGTTTTGTCATAAATGTTATTTAAATGAAGCCTAGATGCATATGTAATTTTTCATGTATATTTTTGTAAAGTTTTGCATTATATAAATATATTTTAATGTTTATATGTAATAAATTATGTTAACCTGTATTAGTTGCTGTATATTTTAGTCTTAACAAGTTTGTTTCCTACAAACATACTTGAAAAATTTCCTGTAGGGTAAAATAAATATACATGTTCTGATAAAAATATTAAAGTACAAAAGTTAAAATGAAAAGTGAACTTCAATTATGAAAATCATTTTTGTCTTCTATAAAAAGGCTGCCTTTCCTATTTGCATTTTGCATAAAATTTACCAAAAAACAAACACAACTGCACTTTTACTCATATTGTTGAGGGTATTTAGTTAATTCTCAAATATAAGTGGATTTCTTATTGTAAGCTAAACCATCTTAATTAAAAATACAATTTAAACTCATTACAAAGACAAAACTGATTTCAGAAAAGGATATATTTAAACAACTTACAGTACATTCTGACATGCTTATTTTAATTTAGAAAGTATGTACTCCCTTCCTTTCAAAGAAAAACCGGAGAGATATGTTACCAGCAAAAATGTGTCCTTTATAGAAGCCCAGAGTTCTGTTGATTTTAGTTTTCAAAATGACCAATATTGCAGTTGGAGTAATCTTTGATGTTAAGAAAAGTGGAAAAATCAAAGTGAAGTGCTAAATCTGTTCATTTTTCAAACATATTAATCTTGTCAAGATAATACATAAAATCAATCTCTGCATTTTTTTCCAGAGCCTTTTATTCTCTTTTATCCAAAATATGAAAGCACTTAGGAGGACACAGAAATGTGGGTGACTTTGGAAAAATGATCTGAAAATCTATTTTGTCTGTTTGTATTAAACAATGACACAAGTGATGTGAACAGTGTATGCCCAAAACATGAACTACTTCTTTAACTATTGGTATTCATCATATTTGTTCAGCTCATAATACGAATATACAGCAAATTTCTGGTACAGCTTTCTTAACAATTTGACTGAGTTTCAAACCCTTGACAGTAACAAATACAAATTG